GTGTGTGTGTGTGTGTGTGTGTGTGTGTGTGTGTGTGTATGTGTGTGTGTGTGTTCTGCTGCCTCTGATTCAGCTGCAAGCACAATACTAGGCACACAGGACAAGTTCAGCACAGACTACTCACGGCCCAGGCCAGAATCCACCTTTAGGTAGACAGGAATCTGAAGCCTAAGCCCCTGAGTGCGCTGCTGAGTGAGCTAGCTAGGCAGAGCCTATGTGGTCATTGGAGCAATTTAAATGCCTAATGATACTAGAATAATAACAGGTCTCATTTCTATGCACCTTAAGGAGTCTCAACTGTTTCCCTCAGTAAGGAGAAACTAAAGATATTGAAGACTCTCGTTGAAATGCAAACCCTCCTGGGAAGGAACCAGAAAGCAAACTTCTTAACTTAACTTCATTTCATTTTGGTCTCTGTAGTCCCAACGTCCAGTACTTTGCCTGGCTTAGAGAAGATGCTTAAATAGTGCTTGTTGATTGAGTTATGGGCCGTGTTGTCCTTATTGGTCCTTCATTCTCAGAGAGGACCTATGATATCAGGAGAGTGACATCTTGACTTGCAAGTGAATTGGATTTAAGTGAGGCAGAGCTGTATGGGCCTTAAGCACTTAAGAATGAGTAGTTTGGAAGAGGGTTTCCAAAGAGCCCAATGAATAAGAGTAAGGGTCTTGGGGTGGAGGGAGAGAGGTCCTGAGCCTGGGGAAATGCAGGGGAGGCCCTTGCAGAGCCAGAAGGTAGGAAATAGAAGGATGTAAAGGTAGGGGGTAGGGTAGGGAGGGAGAACTTTCCCCATCATGCTGTCCTGGCAGGGCTTCTTCTAGTATACGAGTCACGTTTAGAAGGTTACAGATGGAAAGGACTTTTGAACTCCTAAAGGCCCAGAGAGTTCATATGCACAGTCAATCAGTGACAGACCCCCTGCTCACCTAGGCAACCATTGTCACCGTGCACTCCCCCAGTCCTCTCAGCCAGCTCACAACAAAAAAGGCTGTAATTCTTGATTGTTTTCCAGGCTTTCCTTTGGGGTCAGCATGTGCCCTGGTCAACTTGGCTGGACCATCATCTTCCTCCTGATACTCCACTGCAGTAAGTGTTTGGCTTAGATGTCAACCTGTCTTTTACCTGGGGGATGGGGGTAGAGTTGGGAAGAGGGAGATCCTGCCCATCCCTAGTCACTGCTGGAGGGAGATGTGTGGGTACACCCATAACAATAATACTAACCCAAATCCATATAGTACTTTAAGGCTTATAAAACACCTTGCTCACAGCAACCCCATGAAGTAGTTGTAAACATTCTTACTCCCACTTTACAGATGAGGAAACTGAGGCTCAGACAGTTTAAGTGATGTGACTGGCCATGATTACCCAACTAGTCTCGGGATGTAAATATCCAGGAAATGGGAAAACCCTTCAGCGGTCACCTAGTCCTTTCCCCTGTCTCCAAAGAGGTCTGACCCTAAAGTAGCCAAACCCCCAGAGAACTCTCCTATGCCAAGATCTTTTCCAGGCAGAGGATGTCATAACTGTTTGACCAGCTCACTCCAACATCTCATTGTCCTGATGATCAGGAGAATTCTTCCTTTGGTCTGATTCCAGGGTCTCATTTAATAATCCTAAACCCTAGCTAGACTTCGAGTCCACAGGATTGTTTCCTCTCCTCATTTGATCAGTCATCATTTGGCTGAGTCCTGAAATAGATATTCAAGGAAGATGATGAAGGAAAAGATAGTTTCAGGTCCTTGGGGAACTAAATGAATGCTGAAAGGATAAATAAGCACACATCTAAACAACGGACAGAGCTCGTTACACATAAATGCATATGAACACATACTGGAAGGGACCCTAGAACGTAGAATATTAGGACTTGAGGGGCCCTTAGAACAGAATGTGAGACTTAGAAAGGACCTTAGAACAGAAATGTCAAATCTGGAAAGGGACTCTAGAACATAAAATATCAGGCTTAGAATGAACCCGAGAACACAGAATGGTAGAGTTCAAAGGGACCTTAGAACATGGAACACAGAAATTTAGAGCAGGAAAAATTTTGGGGTCCAGTTGGAAAGAACCTTAGAAATAATCTATTCCAAGATCCTCATTTTACAGATGGGGAAAATGAGGCCCACAGAGGGGAAGTTACTTGCACAAGGTCATACAGAAAGTTAATGGCAGAGTTGGATTTAGAAGCCAGGGGTCCTGACTCCCAGTTCAGTGTTTTGTTTTGTCTTTGCACTGCATTGCATTCCCCCAATTAGTACAGAGTCCCTAAGTGCTAAACGAACAAACAAGAGGAAAGTGAGTCAGTGGAGGGATATAAATGGGGAGAGGGGGATGGAGGGTGGGGGACAGATGACATGTGTTGTGCATGGGGCATTCCAGCAGAGGATCATGACATACATGAAAGCCTGTAGGCGTCTTTGGAGCTAGCCTATCACACAGAAGGGTGATTGAGTAGCGGCAGGGGGAGGAACTGTAGAGGGGATCAGCTTCTCTGACTGTAACTGACTCCGTGACATTTTACACTGATTTTTTTTAAGACTCAGGGACACAAATAGCATAGCCTGGGCAGGAAACAGATGTCACACTCTTTTTATTTTCCTTTTCTAAACAGACAGCCTCCTCCCCAAGACTGCTCCATAGGGTTAACTTGTCCGTCCACCTTCCTGTTCCTCCTGGGGGGGGGAAGGGGGTTCTCTGGGCCATAGATATTGTTGGGTCTTTTTTTTTCAGTCATATCTGACTCTTTGTGACCCCATTCGAGGTTTTCTTGGTGTTGGCCATTTCCTTCTTCAGCTCGTTTTATAGATGAGGAGACTGAGGCCAACAGGGTGAAGTGACTTGCCCAGGGTCACACAGCTAGTAAGTGTCTGAGGCTAATTTGAACTCAGGAAAATGAGGCTTCCTGACTCCAGGTGTGGACACTCTATCCACTGTGCCACCTAGCTGCCTCTCCTATGTACCAGGCACTGGGCTAATCACTGTCAAATATGCCACAGAGAGCATTCCTACTCAGGTGTGAATTAAACTGGATGATCTCTGGGGTCCCTTCCAACTTCAAGATTCCATGATAACAAGTAGGTAAATGGTATGGAACAGACTTTATATACACATATGCAGAGGGAGTTCAGAGCAAGGGGAAGGACCGTGTGGGGTGGTTTTAGTTGGGGGAGGCTTCTTCAGGTAGATGATTCTTGAACTAAGCCTTGAAGGATGATTGGTAGGCGTTGGAAAAACTTTCAGGTGGGGCATGCACATAAAGACATGGAAATGAGCAGCATAGTATGTATGAGGTCGAGAGAGAAGCCTGAGTACCCTGGAGGATGTGGGAGTTGTGAGAAACAAGCCTGAATGAAATCATAGAATGCTAGGGCTGGAAGGGACCTCAGACATCATGCAATCTAAACCGCTTCATTTTACATGTGGGGAAACAATTTACATATTGGGGAAGTGGCTTGCCCAAATTCACCCACTGAGTCAGTAGTGGAACCGAGGTGAGTTAGAACCCAGTGGGCGTCTTTACTCCCAGTTCCTCCCTCTCTCCTTGAGGCATCAAAGTCAGATGGAAAGAAGGGCCCCTAATCCATACCTAAGGATGCCTGCAGACTGCACATTGACTTAATTTTTAAAATGTAATGTTATCTATGCTTTATTGTATTTTAATTTATTTTGTTAAATATTCCCCAATTACATTTTAATCTGGTTCTGCCTGCCCTGGAGAATTTGTAGCATGTTTGACATATGCTGCCTCAAGGTAGATTTGGGTGAGATTGTGGAAGCCTTTTAATGGCAGGATAAGAAGTTTGAATTTAATTCTCTCGGCAGGAGGGAACTTGAGAGGGGGAAGATATGATGCCAGATGTGCTTTAGGAAGATAACTGGCTTCAGTGTATGAGACAAATAGCAGAGAGGAGTCAGGAAGACAGAGAAACAAATGCTAAGTAAACATTCTTTCCTTAAAAGTCATCAAGGCTCTAGGGAGATGGAAGGGGCAGTGTAATGAGCTTGTTGAAACTATTCACATTGTCTTGTAATTAAATACAGAAGTGGGGTAGATGAGAATGGAGCTCAACAGCTAATTGGATGGATGCTAGGGATGAGGAAGAAAGACTCTTCAACCCCTTCATTTTATAAGGAAGGAAACTGAGGTCTAGAAAGGTCCAATGACCTGCCCAAGGTGATAGTCCTTGTAAATGGCAGATCCAGGATTCAAACTCAGTTCCTCTGACTCCTAAGTGAGATCTTTTCCTATTAGACCACATTGTCTTCCGGTTTTGAGCTCATGTGAGAGGTAAGATGATAGTACCATCAAGAGGAGCAGGGAATGCTCACAGAATAAACAGCCTCCCATTCAAGGCCCTCTGCCATCTGGCCCCTGTCTGACTTCATGTTCCACTGCTTTCCCATTATGGACTCTCTGCTTCGTACTGGTCTTTCCACTGTCTGTTTATA